GATAGCTGGGCAGGTCTCGACTTAAGTAAACATGAGTTGGCTTAAGGGAAATTGACAGCTAAGAGGTTAAAGGTCAAGCTTAGTCGGGTGACTTGGTTAGCCGCGATACATTCCATGTACTCACTGCCTGTACTGCATGTCTTCACCTAATACCGTTCCCTGCTCTCTTTACTGTGAACAACACAGACTCAGCCAGCAAACAATAAAATAAATCATTAGGTCCATACAAATTAAACTTCTGTTGCTTTTCTATGATTTGTCTGTTGTTTGTGTAAAATATGAGGCAATATTTCAAAATCCAGAGCCTAAGGCGACATCATCTGACCCTCTATCCACACAAAGATATTCAATTCATGACAACACAAAAATAATCTGTGTATTTGAGATTCCAGGAGAGAAAATATGTCTGTCTTCACTAGATAAATTACTTGAATGATAAATCAAACAGATGAAATTTTTATTTAATTACATTTTGAGCTCCAACTAATGTTCTTGATTTATAGTTTGGATTAAAGTGACGTATTCGAATAGTTTTTCTTTATCCAGCTACTAATCCAAGAGATTTAAAATTGAAATTCCATCAGCTAATCGATTAAGCAATCATTTATATAGACACTAAAAAAAAGTAAATGCAATTTCAATGTGACTTTGTTGAACTGGGTTTGTTTCCCTCATTGCATGCACTCTGTCATGATATGTTACCTTCCTGATAACACAAACACGGCTGGAATGTGTCACCTCTCCACAGGCTTTGCAACTGTACTTCACATCACTGTCTCCACAGTTCAGGAGGAACAAAACCTCCTTAAAGACACACTGACTTCCTAAACTCACTTTTCTAGAAAATCAAATCTACTCTCCAGCTCCTCTAGTTCCATACAAGGTCTGGAATCCGCAGCTGGTCACAACATATCTTTGGCATCTGCCATGTAAGAGACGGTATGTCACCTCCGCTACATCAGTGTCCGTTGAGTGCCACAGAATGTGAAAGCATCCAGAACACCCGATAATGGAGCTTTATCAAACCAGCACGCAAGATTAGATGCTGCCGGGAGTGAAACCTGCATACCTTCTCTGCAACAAGACCATGTTTGGTGAGCACTGGTCCACAGAAGATAAACATTAAGCATCATCGGGCTTCGGTGAAACACTGACGATGACGTGTGAGTTTGAGCAATGAAGCAGGGATGGGAAGCCGAGCTCGCTACGGCGCTTTACCGGTGCGAATCAGTGATCCATTGAGTCGCATACTCGGCTGTGCAAGAGGCTGCTGTTGTTCAGCATGTGAGAGTCACACCAGCAGGGTTGTTAAACTTTGACTCACATAAGTTCATACTTTATGGTTACTTTAGTGTTGTTAAGTACAAAGCTGTTTGGCATTTTCACGTTTAGTGCTTTCGACAAGGGGAACTTTGTGGATGCTCCTGAGTAGGAGTCAGGATGGGGAACTCCGTTAACAGACTTAAACAATAAAGCTACAAACAACATGTCCAATTAGTCACTTCAAAATGTCCCAAGTCTGTGCAAATCAGATGACAAGTGTCGATGACTCAACTCTCACGTTCTTGAATCATGTGGAAAAAGTGCAAGTCATACACACAAATTAGTCAAATTATTCTCTGTCTCATGTTTTTTGTGTGAATCTCCACACCCGTCTGCAAAAGTGTGTGAGTACATGATTGCACCTATTAACACCTGCTTGTATACGTGCGTGTGGATGCGTGTGCATGTTCCGTCTCCTGAAAACTCGCTGCTCCCCTTGCATAAAACGCACACCAGCACACCGAAGACAAAACATGGCTGTCTGACTGCACGTTAATTCACCTGAGTATATTTAAGTTGCTGCCGGTCTGGAAGGCTTCCAAACATTTCCACCATCATTAGATTCCTCTGGTCATTACTCTCTGTGCTTCCGTGTCTGTCTTCTACACAGTAGAAGACGTTGGTCTAGTCCCCTAGCTTATGTGCATCACAGAATTTAAAACCTCTTTTTTGAGGTATTTATTCATAAAAATAGATACTTCTTAATAATTCTTCAAATTTTGCATTAATCTTCTTGTTTTTAAAGTAAATCAATGCATGTTTAGTTTATGAAAAAAAAAAATAAGACTCACAGCCTCAGATGCATTTGGATGCAAATTTTGCCTGACAACTCATCCATAAGGGAAAAGTGTTCAGTGGAATAAAAGAAAAAACACAAAGGAGCAGAAAATCCTCACATTGGAGCTCAATCATTAAATATTGTGCATTTCTGCTTAAAAAGTGACTTATATAAAAGTCAGTTGCCTCAATTCCCTAACCCATCATTTTAGCTCAAACTAAATTACTATACGCTGTGCTGAGTGATGCATTATTAGCTGGTAAATAGAAATTAATCAGATAATTATATTTGGTTGAAATGATGTGGAGCCATCTCTCTCTTCCAGCAAAAGCAAATAGGTTGAACCCTGTGGTGCAGAAACAATGTGTTGATGAATTGATCAACAGCAAACTACTGACAGCTATGAATCATTGAAGCCTTTCCTAAGCAAACAAATGCACAATTGTCAGTTCTAGCCTGACAAATGTGAGATTTAGATGCTTTCTCTCTATAGCTGCTGATTTCAGACATGCACTGAAGCCTGGACATTTTCTGGAGCGGCTGTATGTGAGAACGCAAAAAAGTCCAGAGTGAGTCCATTTGAGAACACAGCAGGAAAATGTCCAGAAAAGTCTCAGCGAGAAAGTGAATTCTCAAATACAAATATTTCTGCATGAAACGTGTCATGCATGTAGAAGAGGCCGGCGTCAATGTGCCTTAAACAAAAACACGCGATTTCTGCAGTGGGATTTATATGTCATGTCCTTCCTCCTGCGTGCTTTACCCAGCCTGAATGTTCCGGACATTTTTATGTTGTTGTGAACTCGTCTGATCTGGACAATCTCCTGCTACATTCCTCAACCGTGAAAGGAAAACTCTTGAAAATTGGGTTGGTGTCTAAAAATGTCTCATTGTAAATGAAAGATGCTGGGGTTTTCGACTGGGACTTCGTCACCTTTGCCTCTCATAAAGTGTGATGGGAATAATTGTCCCCCTTTGACAGACTGAAATGTTCATCAATTCACTGAAGAAAATAATTAAAAGATTGGTAATCATGTGTCCATAAACAGGCTAACTGCAGCACTGTGTTCCTTCAAACTGAAACTCTCCGTTAACTTTCACAGACTTCAGTATTTGAGTCTATTTCTCATCTGTGTGGTGTTACAGTAACTGCTTGCACCCATGGTTACCTCAGCAGTGGACCAAATATGGTATTACATCAGGCCGGGGTTTGTTTGGCAATTCGGCTACAAAATGACAAAAACAATATGCCGAGCCTTCATCAAACCGCTCCAAGAGAAATATCTCATGTAGCCTTTCTTACATCACCTGGCTGTGGATGTGGGGAGTTCTGAAATAACAGGTCTTGTCGTCTGATCTGGAATATTCCCGTGCCAACGAAAATCACTGCGTTGCAAAGCGCCGCTCCACTCCGAACTTATTTACCAAGAAGGCGATGTTATGGATCAAGGTTGTGCAATGTTTACAAAGGAGAATGGGAGGAGGAGGAAGAAACTGGGCTTTTGTCCAACATGTTTGAGAGTCATTTTCACCAGAAACTAAACGGATTACGTCACATTTCCTTTGGACAAACAATATCATTTTGCCGTGTTTGGATGTAATTAAGTTACATTCGTACGGAGAGGCTCTGCTCGCTCGACTGTAATGCAGTGCGTGTGGGTTAAAAGGACTTATTGCCAACGTGTTGCAGCAACACTGGTTGTTTGAACTTCAATTGCTCCCTCAGCTTCACTGAAAACTAATTTGCCCTGGCTCAGAATTCCCTCTACCACTGCTTCTCAGTGCTGTGTGGAGTCTGGCTTTATGGTACAGTAAAGCCAAAGACTGGTAACACTTAAGTCCCAAGAAAGTTATGATTCTCCTCACTGGCATCCGGGCTTTAGAGCTATTCAGGAACTACATCAGGAAACATTCAGTATTACTTTTACCTTGGTTTAAAGTGTTTAGAAATGGTGCTTAGCTTGGCTTCACTATGAGGTATAGGTTAACACAAACAGGTCAACACAATATAAAAGTAATGTGAAAAATAGATGAAAGGTGCATATTTAAGTGAAATAAAGACACATCTCCTGATGTGAATATTATGAATGGCACTGTACAGAAGGGCTGGGCAATAAATGTCAATGTTGATTGCAATTCAATTTCATCAATATCAAATCACAAGACAGACAGAGAACAGTGCACAGTGAGGACAGAAACACACAATATATCTTTAGCTCAAATTTACTGAGGAGCAAAAATCTAACTTTAAACACTTTCAAAAATTATAATGTTGTCAGATTTATCTTGATAATCATTAATATGGATCGAATTGTTGCTTTTAAATTTGTTTTATCTTAATTCCCTCGGGGGCAAGAATCACTTTAAAATGTAAATATCATTACATATATTTAGATAACCACAAACATAATTTCTTCATTAAGGAGGAAATATCTGTCTTTAAAATTAAAAATATATATAATTGTTAAGTTGATAATTATCGATATCAACTTAACAAATTTTATTGATTTCATTTTATCTCCTCACTGAGGAGCGAGGGTTCAATCTTGAACGAAACAATAACATTATTGACATTTATCCTGATGATCATCGACATCGACGGAATCGTTTTTGATTAAATTTCTTTTTACCTTGATAACATTTGACACTAAAACACTAAAACATGCATTTGTCTTTACCTTGATATCATTTTTGGGGACATATCGTCCAGCTAACACCGATACAAACAACTTTTACAAGCTCAAACTGGGATTCAGCTCAGAAGACACCTCAGAATAAGACACTTTAACCACTACAGGAATGTTACAAAGACACTACAGGCGACTTGATCAGCTGCAGAGGACAGAGAAGTCTTTAATGGGATGGATCTGTGTGTTTCCTGTGTGCTCTCCTCACATACCTCCTCCTCGTGGTTGGTGAATTCACTCTGCTCGTTCTCCTTCTCGGTTTTGTTGTTGTTCATTCTGCCTCTGTCACTTTCACCTGCTCCGTCTTCTTCTTCTTCTGCTTCTTCTGCTTCGCACGTCGCCTTTCGCTTCTGCGTCTTCTTCCTCTTCGCCTCCTCCAGGACCGAAATGGTGGTTTTTTATTTTTTGTCTAGAAAAGAAGAAGAAGAGGACAGACAAACAGTCCGCGCGCGGCCGCTGTCCCACTGATCCGAGCTGCTGCTGCTGCTGCTTCTTCTTCTTTAGTTCGGCGACATGGAAGATGGAAGATTGATGTTTAACGGAGGAGGAGGATGAAACTCGGCTCTGTGTTTCTGTCAGATATTCCTCAGTGTTTCCCTGGAAAAGCTGCTCCGGCTCTTGTCTCTGTTCCCTGAATGAAACACGGTAAATGTTCGGTGGTAACTTCTCTCCCCATCTCCACGTGAGGGAGGGCGGGGTGGAGGACAGAGGAGGGGTTTAGGGTGGAGGGGGTTGGGTGGAGGAGTGTGTGGGGGGGGGTGCACTGTCTCCTGCTGCTGCTGGGCTTCATCACGTTTCATCAAATAATAAAAAAGAAAAGAAAAGAAAGAAAGAAAGAAATCAGTCAGAGTCACTTTAGACAGCAGCTGAACTCAGAGCAGGGCCGGAGTTAGAAATCAATGTTCAGGGGCCCAGCCCCCCTCCATCAATTCCCCAATCTCCGTCTGCAAAAAGGCACTGAACGAAGAGGTGTCAAAACTCCAGACTAACACGATTTTAAAGTGCTGCAAGGACCTTTTAACTGGTCACATTTTTTATATTGCTGCCTCTTTATGACCTGCAACAGCAAACGAGACAAATCTGGGAGAAAGACAAAATGGTAATGTTGTCATATCACAGTTTTTTCAATCGTACAGCTACAAAAAAGATACTGTAATAGCAAAATGGTGCTTATTTCCATACATGTGGAACTGATATCTGTGTAGGGAATGTTTCTTTGTCTCTTTCAGAGACGGTAACGTAATTCACGCAAATGTATTTATTGTGGGCTTTTCATAATTTAATATATCAATTATATTTAAATTGCATTCATCTGAGCCTGATTTGATAAATTAGTCAAATTATTGAAGATACTTAAGGATGTTAATTGCTCTCTGATAAGCAACAGGTTATGCAGCACCTTTGACACATTCTATTAAGGTGGTTAACTTACCCACTCATAAAAAAAATGTTAAATGGCTCCCATTTAGTTTTACTCATCAGTATTTTCCTGTGTATGTACAAAGTTCACTCAGTTTTCTATAAATTAACCTGTTTAAACTTTAACAAGCATTTCATACTATCAGTTTCCATCATAAAGCTGGCAGTCACGAGATGTTTTTCAACAAGCCACGCACACTCAGGATTATTTCCCCTTTCTTCCCCCATCTGAACACCTTGAAACGTAGCACTCAGCATTATTCATCATCTTTAAAGATGTACAGAGCAGGGGACACAGCCAATTATCAACCTGACTGAATAATAAATTGCACATGCTTCTTATGTAACAACTCTGGACAGAACTGAGACTGCAGAGACGCTCATGTGTCTCCTTTACTCATGTAAAACTCTTTACTCAAAAAAACTGGGGTTAGACACAGCTACGCATTCTGATGTGTGCAAACAGTACCAGGCACTAATTCAAAAACCAACTAACCACAGTAAGAATCCATGACAGCAGACGTGAGGAGATAGCTGGAAAGCAATGCACACACAAGGAGATAAAGAAGGTAGAGAACAAAGGAACACAGGGCGGAGAAGAGGTGTAGACAGGAAGAGGTAAGTGTGCCAAAATAAACAGGAAACAGAGACTGGTGATTGGGTGAACCCACATAAAGATGGAGGACACAACAGCTCCCCGCAAGTGAAGGCAAAGCAACTAAATAAACCTCCGCCTCCTCCATGTTAGTGGATAGTCCATGGGCCAAACTACAAAGCCAAAGCACACATATGGTTACTGTCATTTTAGGTGGTTCTTATCCTACTGTGTTCGCAAGTTTGGTTTCAATTTATTATTTGATTCTATGAAAATAGGGTGAAACATCATGATTGACAGCTGAGACTGACTTATGATTGGTCGTGCATGTGTATCGGCAGGACCTCGATCGCTACTGTGCAGTCTCCAAACGAGCAAGATGGCGGCATTAGTATCCCGGACATTTTGGCTTCATGTCTGCATAATTGGGAGGAAGAGAAGACATGTCTGTGTCACAGACACTATATACAGTCTGTCTATTCCAAGGCTTTTAGAGTTTTTTTTCTTTCATATCAGGTAAAATGGCTCCTCTCAGACATCACTGATAAGAAAGAAGATAAAGAAAGGGCAGGATGTGAATGTAAAGAGTTACTGGAGACAACACCTGCAAATTGTTCAAGATTGGAATATGATGACAGGATGCACTAATCCACTTTGAGCTCACCTAAGACAATTTGATTTATGACCTCCTAGTGAGGAAACAGTCGGACCCTGGAGCTATAGAGGTGCATGTCTCAATCCCTGTGGGGATGTGCAAACACTAAAAAACTTCACTGGCACACCTATTATTGTCTCCAGAGCGGTGCAGGATACAAAGCAGCCTTAAAAGCGGCGATCAGGTGACAAGGCAGCCTTGAACACACAACATTTATTTTCAGCAACTGCTTCACTTTGTGTTTTTTGCGATGAAAAGTTCAAGAGCTGACAGTAGCTCGGCAGTGGAGACTTTGACTATATGTTTGCGTGACACTTATTGCGCGGGACAGACTCTGGCATTCTGTGACAGCCAGTGCAGAAAACCGAGCGAGTCACTTTTGCTGAACCTGCAACCCAGAAGCAACAAAAGGAGGAAAAAAAAAATCAGTCGTTGTGGATCGGACATAGAGACGTGTGCTCTTTCCCCTCCCTGATCATGTCTATATCAATTACTCTGCATGTGAAGCATGCACAATGAAGAAGGGACATGGCAGATTCTTTTATGCTGATGAGAAGCAGTTCGGCACAATAAGGGAGGGGAGGGGGGTCTCGGAGTCTTCGCAGCAGATAAAAATGGAAATGTTCCCCTCGCTGCTCAACACCCCCTGTATCAAAGCCTCCTGCTGGAGTCTGGGGAGCATGGAGGGGGAGGAGAGGATGGGAGTCGGGGTGGGGGAAGAGAGAGAGGGGGGAGATGTCCCAGCTGTGTTTGACAGGTCTCAGGGCTGAGCTGTGTGGTCTGTTGCTTGGAGAGGGAGTGTGGCCCTCCACGAAAACGTACACACACGCACACACACATGCGCGCACACAAAAACACACACACACACTCAAACACACCAGGGGGGCAGAAGCGGAGCAGCTCGCAGACAATCTGGTCACGGCGTCCTGGGTAACACGTCAGCAAGCTTTGACATGGTCCAGCCGTATATATATCCAGTTATCTGTATGTTATCTAGGGGACTGTGAGTTTAAAAATAAAGACAAAAGTGTTGGTTAACGGTTTGAAGAAGCCTTGTTAGTAAAGATTAAATCGCTGGGGAGTCGACTAGAGCGTGCATGTTAATGTCACATAATAGTTTGGGAAGTATGCATCTTCACTGTCTTGCAGAGAGTTTGGCCATTCGACCTGCAGGTAAAATCCGAAGAAGTGGCTACAGGGTTTACCCAGAGTTTGCATTTCACACATGGAAAAAAGGAGGTTCTCTGGACACACAACTACAACAAATCCTCCGCAGTGTTCGGGCGAGAGGTGGAGCAGCCAGGTGCAGCTGACAGAGACAGGAAGTGACGTATTAACTCCGCTGTGGAGATCACATGATTTTCTTGACAACACGCAGAGACGGTGTCTCTTATCAACACAAACTCTTGAGACATCTTCGTTTGTCTCTTCTACGTGTGTGTCACCTCTTTTTCACCAGGAGATATTTGATTTCTTTTTAGTTTTTTTCAATTTTGCGCCTGTTGTATCAAAATATTTTTATAGTATCAAATAACTTATTAAGGGTATTTATAGCTATGGTTTCATATGTTGGCCAGTATGGTATCTTGTATTATTAATATTTACTGTACATTAAATTGTCCATTAAATAGGGATCTATATACCTAATTCTTGACAAAAAAGCAAATAAAAATATGTCCCAAAATGTCAAACATAGTACTATGTACCACAGATCCTTTGTTTCCCAGATAACAAAACATTTCAACTACATTACAAAAACCTCTGCTGAAACACAAGCAGGGCTGATGATTGAGACACAAATCAAGTTATCCAGTATCATCTTCTGGATCACTGACTCATAGCTAAAAGGCCAGCCCTGATATGAGCACCAAAACATGAATCTATCATGACATAATGTCGATGTATTGACCAGTGGTGGATCCCCAAGAGAGAACCCCCGCGGTTCTTGCAGTCCGGCGGTCAGATGTCTGCAAGATGATGCCTCCCCTCCTCTCGTTAAAACACCCTTTCTTTGCATTCCTGCAACTCGGTAGCAGGGCAAGCTCCTTATCTCTGCACTGCACGCTTACGAAACTTCCTTGCAAAATGACTTAAAAGTTAAAAGAGAGAGGGAGGACAATGTTGCAGTCCATATAGAGGTCACCTGTACAAACATGAAGACCTGACAGCACCTCTGTGTTTGGCAGAGCAACACACTTCACCCTTTTGAGTGATGTGGGGTAAGTGGCTGTTATTGGGCTTGGAGCCAGACCATTCCATTCCTTTGACTTACTGATACGCAGCGATCCTCCCTCGTGCTCTGTGCCCTTTGATCTTCCTCTGAGATCACTAATGAGCAATTTGTGGTCAGATTGACCTGCTCAAATTGGCCAAGAGAGGCTCGGTGCTTTGTTTCAGTTGGCTCAATGCTTTTCATGGTTGCTTCTTCATAACAATGGCTCTTTGAAAAAAGAGACAAAACAGCCATTTTCACACATGCACTCTGGAAAAGTGGGTCCAGATATTTTCCGGGGTTTGCCCTTCACACATGAAGAATGCAACAGAAGATTATCCGGGTCAGATGAGCTCACAACAACAGGAAAAAAATCTGGTTTGAACTACTGTAAAAAACATGGCGGCCTCCGTAGAGACGACCTGCTCCTGATGTAAATATAAAGTATTTAAATATAAAGGACCCATCCGAGGGTCAAGAAAACAACAATTCATCCAATTTAGATGAAACACACAAGTGATCCCTTTCAACTGAATCTTACTCACTGAACCTGTAAATTATAACAGTCTTCTTTTAAAAAGACATCCAGACCCTACTGGCAGAAAATAAGTCGGAATCTGAAACTAGTCAGGAGCGACCTGGGGTGAAAATCCATCTGAATCCACTAAATAATCTGAGACACAAAGTTTTTACAATTCATCTTGAGGGGGAAGATAATACCTGCACCACATTTTATGGCCATCCAGCCAATAGTTGACAAAATAGTTCCAAAATCAATAAAACGTCATCTTCTTGGACGAGCCA